GCTAACGGCCTGGGCCGAGCTGCACTGCAGGCTGGAACAAGAGGCCCCAGACCTTCCCGAGGGACCGCAGCGCCTGGGCCAGCAACAAACACGTCCGGCCACGCTGGACACAATTGAACAGAACCACGGGCTGAAGGAAGAGTCTGCAAGGCCTTCGAACAGCTCAACCCAGAGCACAAGGGAAGTCTGAAGGTGCCAGCACCAGATCCATGGGGCCACACGCACTGGGCATGGTTTTGCCAGTTGCATGTAACATACTTGGAGGCACTGTAAAAACAGAGCAGGCTTCACCATGTCCACCACAAACCAGGGTACATTAGTGGTATCTGAATTGTGTATAAAGGGCAAGGACCAGGGTCACCCTGACAGGCACTGGGGCAGTACCTTACCTGTGCCCCAGCTCCCAAGGGGTCCTGACAACACAGCTGCAGCCTGGTCCTGCGCGGTCCAGGGCTGCACACTCCCAGTCTGCAGAGCCCGAGGTACGGGTCACAGCACAGCAGCAATTAACACCCCGGGGGTGGATGGTGGAGTCCAGGTGCAAGCCCAGCATGGTCCTCAGGACCAGGAGACAGGTTGTGCAGCATGTGTCCCCATGAGCAGGTGCCTGTGTGCATACTGGTGCCCACCTGCAGGGCAGGGGAGCCTGTGCTGCCCCCCCCCCCAAGGTGCTACAAGGTGCAGTCCTGGGGTCTCTGCCCTGACCAGCCCTGTGCCCCAACACATTCCCCATCCCCTCGCACAGCCCAGGCTCAGCTGCACCACATAGCCCAGACCTGAAGAGCCCCAGGCAGGCAGCATCCTTCCTGGGGCAGGTGCAGGGGACACCGGGCAAGCCAGTCCAGCCCCTACAGGATGGAGGCAGGGAGCCCCCCAGGTCCCTGCCCACCCCAGCTGAGCATGCGGCCTCCATGTGTAGGCATGGACGTGCCCTGTAATGGGGCAGGTGTGGTGGAGGTAGCAGGGGGATTGCTCATTTGGCTAACTAGAGCATGACAATATCCAATAGCTGGAACCTGGATGTTGCAAGGAAAGGCCCCCTGCCCCACAGAGACCACACAGGAGCCAATTCTCCCAGTTTATTGACTGCAGCACGGGAGCTACCCCAGGAACCGCCACGCCTGCCTTGCCCGGCCCAGCAAGCTCAGAAGCCCATGCGGGCACGCTTGCGCCTGGCCTGGGAGCCCGTGGAGGCCTGGCTCTGGGAGAGGGGGACGTGCCGCTCCCCCCCCAGGCTGGAGGCCTGGCTCTGGGAGAGGGGGACGTGCCGCTCCCCCCCCAGGCTGGAGGCCTGGCTCTGGGAGAGGGGGACCTGCCGCTCCCCCCCCAGGCTGGAGGCCTGGCTCTGGGAGAGGGGGACGTGCCGCTCCACCCCAAGGCTGGAGGCCTGGCTCTGGGAGAGGGGGACGTGCCGCTCCCCCCGCAGGCTGGAGGCCTGGCTGCTGGGCACCGCAGGTGGCGGCTCCATGGGGGACTCAGTGAAGATGGAAAGGAAGTCACGGAGGGTCTTCCTACGCTCCCTGGGGACCCCGCGCAAGCGCAGCACCTGGGATGACAGCAGCTGGGAGGGGGCCCCTGGGTCCTGGCTGCCCCCCGGCTCCTGGGAGGGCTGGGTGCTGCAGGCCAGTGGGGAGCCTGGCCAGGGCTCTGCAGGAGCATCCTCCCCTGGCTGCCCAGGCAGGGAGGGGGCGAGGCCATGCTGGGGGCTGGCTGCAGGCGTAGGGGCCCGGCTGCCCACAGACCAGGCTGAGACATCACTGAAGTCGGACAGGTCAGACTGGTAGGTGAGGGAGGAGCTGAAACTGCCCGAGAGGCTGCGGAGGCCCCGCGCTCGCTTCCGGCGCCGTCTCTGCTCCCGCAGTGCCCGCACCCGTGCCTGCCGCGCCTGGCTCCTGCCCTGCTGCTCCTCCCACCAGCCGCCCCAGTCCCCCATCCAGGAGGCCGTGAGCCGCTCGCTCAGGTCGTCGGGCCAGGCCTGTGGCTCCACAGGGCAGGGCGCAGGCGGTGGTGGGGGCTGCAGGCCCAGGGCACAGCCCACAACCAGACCACGCTCCCGCATGACACGGCCCAGCTGCCGGCGAGCCTGCTGGTGCAGCACCCCATCCCCAGGCAGCTGGCCCAGCTCCCTGTGGGTGAAGAGCCGCCTCTGGCTCAGGGTGAGGGGCACCCATGGCCTGGCCGGTTCCGCCAGCTGCTTCCAGGCATGGGACAGTGTTGCCAGCCAGCGGCGGTACTGGGCAGCAATGGCAGGGCTGGGGGCAGGGGGCTGGTTGGGGTTGCCTCGGGGGCAGGGGGCTGGTTGGGGCTGGGCCCCGGGGTCTGCGGGCTGCCTGGCCCTGCCACTGTCCTCATCCTCCAAGTCCTCGTTCACAAGCACCTCCAAGCCAGACAGGTAGAAAGTCTCCGTCCTTTCCTCCTCCTTGCCCTCGCTGCCCAAACCACAGGAAGTGCCTGGTCCTGGCACGTGTTGCTTTGCCTGGGCAGGAGTCTGCAGGGATGGGGATGCGGAGGGCTCATCTGCATGGCCCCTCTCCAGTGAGCTGTCTGCTGGCTGTGAGTGCAGCAGCGTCTGGTGGAAGAGGTCCCCGGCCTCGGACAGCTGGAAAACCAGCATGGACTCCAGCGGCCCCCAGCGCCCCAGGGCGGCGGTCACCCCTGGAGAGAGTTCGTTGTGAGCCAGACAGGCAGGGGCAAGTGGCATCCCGTCTGCCAGTGGTGCCCCCCTGCACACAGGCAGCCAGCTTCCCCACCGCCCTCTGGCCCCGTCCTGGGCACCACTGTGCAGAGGAGCCACAGGAAGCCTGGCCTGCACCTACCTGCAGCAGGCACACCCAGCCTCTGGTGCAGCCGGTCCAGCTGGTGGGGCGTCGTGGCGGGCAGGTACTGCAAGCCGTCAGCAATGGTGTGCAGCCTCCGTGGGGCCCCCACGAGCTGACAGGCTGATGTGCTGCTACCTGCAGAGAGAGGAGCGCCATGAGGAAAGGGGGCTGCATTCCCAAGCCCCACCTGGCCAGGGGGATGCTGAGCAAGCCAGTCCCGGGCAGGGAGACAGGACCAAGGGGAGAAGGCCCCCATGCACTGTGACCTCCCCCTACCCCAGGTGCTAGGAGCAGCCTCAGAGTGGCTCCAGCCACTTGCTGCAGAGCAGCTACCCCCACACGTCCCAGCCCAGCCCCAATACCCCTCGTGCCCCCGACCTGTGCACTGCAGCAGCAGCAGCTCCTGGGTGCGGTGGGCGCCCAGCAGCACCTTGTGGCTCCTACCCGGGGCACCGCCCGGCATCACATGTGCAAAGATGGGGGGGACCGTCATCATGTGCTCCCAGCGCAGTGCCGGCACCAGAGGGAAGCGCTCGTCCACCACGTACACCGAGAACTGCAGGGATGGCAGTGTAACATTGCCCAGGGCCCCACCCCTTGTGGCCCGGCTGTGCTCCGGGCCCAGCCCACCCACCTGCAGCCATGGCACGAGCCTCAGGGCGCTGCAGTCCCCACAGCCCAGCACAGGCCCTGCTGCAGTTTCCCTGTTGTGCCGGCCCTACAGCCAGGCCCCCAGGGCATCCCAGGCAGCTGCCCCGAGCACCTGGGCCACGGCACACAGATCTGCAACACAGACCCCGGCCAGCCCTGAAGCCAGGCATGAGGCTGCAGGCCCCATGCAGCCAGCAGCCCTGAGCCCCAGGGGTCACAGCCCCTCACCACAGACACAAGCTGCTGCCCTGTACCCACCCTAGCCTGAGGCCCTCCCTGCTGAACCCCGCCACCTCTCACCTGTGTGGCAATGAGGTGCTGAGCGGGGTGGGCCTGACCCAGGTACAGGGGCAGCACTACGCGCTCTCCACGCTGACACCCGGCTTCTGCGCCCACCTTGAAGAGATCTCGCCGGGCGTGAGTGGGGGCCTGCAGCCAGAGAGGCCAGGACCTGAGCTGGGCTGGGGGAGGGAGATGCCCCCTACCCCACTGGAAGGGCCCCGGGCACCCACTGGCGGAGCTGCGAGGCCCAAGGGAAGGGCCCAGCCTGCCCAGGGCGGCCCCGGGGCCCCGCTCCCCCACACCCTGTACCCTCCTGGCAGGCACAGGGTCTTGCCTGTGGCAGGTAAGCCCCGATGCCAGGGCACAGCCCCTTGCCCCAACTCACCCGCATATCGAGGCACTGCACGCCAGTGCGGTCAGCATAGCTCAGCACCCGCGGGTGGGCTGTGAACTCGCTCCAGCGCCACGGCGATGGGTCACGGAAGAACATAGTCTCCGGCTCCTGGCAGAGGCGCTGCAGCCTGGGGAGGCCAAGGGCCCCCAGAGATGGGTGTCAGCGCCAAAGCTGAGGACCCTGGGGGGCAGCAGGACCTGGGATGTGGCCATTGCTGTGTATGGGCCTGGCTCAGGTCATGGCTGTCACTGCCTGGCCACAGGCCCTCGGACGGGCTAGATGCTGCTGTGGCCATGGCCTGACCCCCAGTGCGGGAATGAGGAAAGATGCTGCTGTGCCCCCCACCCAGCTCTGGGGCCCTGCAGCTCCCAGCACCTTCTGAAGGCTCAGAACTGCCCCCACCTCCCCCCACCACACCATGGCCACCTCCCCCTCCCGGCAGCCTGTGCTGCCCGCGCCACTCATCCCTGACCCTGGCTGGGGCAGGGAAGCCCCATGCAGCCTTTGCCAGTGCCTGCAGCCATGCTCACCCGGTCTCGACGCTCCACAGGTAGACAGCCCCGCTGTGGGTGCACAGGGACAGCTCCCCGGGCAGGTGGGGGCTGTGGGAAGGGCAGTGTCAGTGGGGCCTGGAGCCGAAGCAGAGCATAGCTGGAGCCTTCCTGCAGCGGAGGCGTGGAGGGACACACAGACCTGCCCCAGCTATAGGCCTTGCTGCCCCGGGGCTTGCAGCTGCGCTGGTCTCATGGTTCCCCCCAGTAGGGGCAACACTTACCTGACAGTGAGGCAGGAGGCTGGCGAGGTGGTGCGGACGACCTGCAGCGGAGTGGGCACAGCGCCCGGCTGCAGCCTCCAGGCCCCACAGTGATAGTCTGAGCGGACGCCCACAAAGGCTGCAGGCACAGGGGACACGCTGGTTTAGCTCATGGAGGGGGGAGGGGAGCACAACCAGGCTGTCCCACGGGAAGACAGGGCCATGGAGCAGTGACTTGGACTCAGCCCTCATGGGGGTCCCTGCCCCTCAGCCCTGGTTCCAGGGGGCCGTCAGCCTGGGGCTCCCTGCTCCCGTAGCTGGGGTGTGGGGCCCTACTCTGCCCAAGGAAGCAGGGCTGGCTGCTGCCGAGGGTAGGGAGAGGCGACAGCCCTGGCCCCGCTCACCTGCCCCATCCAGCTGCGTGGCAGACACCTGGCGCACCCAGCCGTTGAGCTTAAACTGGGCAGGGCTGCCCCGGGCGCGGGGACGCAGGCCACCATCCTCCCCCGGCACCAGCACCATGTCCTGGAAGTCTGTGATGCCCTGGTTAAGTGCCACAGCACAGTCTGATGGGACCAGGACTGCAACCGCCTGCGGTCTAGCTATCACCCCTGCCCACCGCGGGCACCTCCCACCACTGCCCCACCGCACAGGGGGTCAGCTGGATGCCTCCCAGGGGATATCAGGGACACAGCAGTGTCCAGCCCTGGCCCCCCAGCAGCTCTCCCCCAAGCCGAGCAGACCCCCCAGCCGCAAAAGGATACAGAGCTGATCCATGGCGGGGCCGCCTGGGTGCAGCAGGCAGCCACGGGATGCACCTATGCCCCCAGCGGGCAGCCAGGCCAGCGCACCCCCAGTCAGGGCATCGTCGAAGAGCAGCTGGTCCCGCTGTAGCACCAGCTCCTCGTGCAGCCACTCACCCAGCATCCCTAGCGGCAGCTCCCACAGCCATGGCCGGCTCAGGCGGCAGAAGCCGCGCAGCCGGGAGCTGACCCACAGCTGGCGACACCCGCTACAGGAGGGGACAGGTCAGGGGCCACCTTGCACTGCTACAAGGGCAGGTGGAGGGCAGGCCCAACGCACAGAGCCACATGGGTCTGGGGGGTCGGGGGAATGCCACACACTCACCGCCTGGCATCCGCGTGGCCGAGCTTCCGCAGCAGAGCTGACAGCGGGACCACATTCTCGCGCGCCTTCCCCTACGCGGAAAGGGGACAGATGGGCCGAGGTCAGGACAGGGCCACACTACCTGACCGGGAAGGGCATGGGTGTGTGCAGGCAGCACGGTCGCATGCCAGGAGGCTGAAGGAGGGGAGGCAAGGTGGGCTGATTCTCCCCCTCCAGCCCCACTCCCCACAATACCAGTGAAATGCAGGACAGTGCCAGGCCACCACGCACTGCAGCCACAGGCCATCAGACGGAGCAGCCTCAGCACCCCGGTCCATATCCATCCGCCCCCTTGTTCTGGATGGGGGCATGGGGGCAGAAATGGGACGGGGGTGAGGTTGGAGCCAGAGGGCAGCGGTTGATGGAAGTCAATCGTCTTGGTGCGCTGTGACCAGTGAGGTCCCTCAAGGCTCTGTCCGTGGGCCAACACTATTCAACATCTTCATTAATGATTTCATAGATTTCATAGACATTAGGGCTGGAAGGGACCTCGGAAGATCATCGAGTCCAGCCCCCGACCCAAACGGCAGGAAGTCAGCTGGGGTCATATGATCCCAGCAGGATAAGTATCCAATTTGCTCTTGAAGGTGTTCAGTGTAGGTGCTTGAACCACCTCCGATGGCAAGCTGTCCCAGACCTTGGGGGCTTGGACAGTAAAGAAATTCTTCCTTATGTCCAGCCTGAAACGGTCTCGTAGTAGTTTATGACCGTTCGACCGTGTCATCCCTTGGGCCGCTCTGGTGAACAAATGACACCAAGCTTTGGGGCAAAGCATCCATGCCAGAAGACAGGTGGGTGATCCAGGCTGACCTGGACAGGCTCAGCAAATGGGTGGACAAGAACCTGATGATGTTTAACACCGAAAAATGCAAGGTCCTCCACCTTGGGAGGAAAAACCTGCAACATCCTTATAAGCTCGGCAGTGCTACGCTGGCTAGCACTACGGAAAAAAGAGACTTGGGGGTCATCACTGACCACAAGACGAACATGAGCCTGCAATGCGATGCTGCAGCTAGCAAAGTGACCAAAACGCTGGCTTGCATCTATAGACGCTTCTCAAGCAAATCCCGGGATGTCCTTCTCCCCTTGCACTCGGCCTTGGTGAGGCTGCAGCTGGAGTACTGCATCCAGTTTTGGGCTCCGTAATTCAAAAAGGATGCGGAGAAGCTTGAGAGGGTGCAGAGAAGAGCCACGCGCATGATCAGAGGTCAGGAAAACAGACCTTACGACGACAGGCTGAGAGCCATGGGGCTCTTTAGCCTGGAAAAGCACAGGCTCAGGGGTGATCTGATGGCCACCTATAAGTTTATCAGGGGTGACTACCAGGATCTGGGGGAACGTTTGTTCACCAGAGCGCCCCAAGGGATGACAAGGTCGAACAGTCACAAACTCCTTCATGACCGTTTCAGGCTGGACATAAGGAAGAACTTCTTCATTGTCCGAGACCCGAAGGTCTGGAATAGACTGTCGCCAAAGGTGGTTCAAGCACCTACACTGAATGACTTCAAGAGAAATTTGGATGTTTATCTTGCTGGGATCCTTTGACCCCTGCTGACTTCCTGCCCCTGGCAAGGAGGCTGGACTCGATGATCCTCCAAGGTCCCTTCCAACACTAATGTCTATGAGATCTATGAGGGGGGGAGTGCACAGCACCCGCACAGCAAGGCACAGCTGGGTTCTGGTTAGTCACAGCTGGGGAGAGCAGGCTGCCAGAGGTTGAGGAGCCAGGGGCTCAGGGAAGCAGGGGCAGCAAGATGGGGGCTGCCCCTGTCCCAAGCCAGGAGTGCAGCTGTCCCTGGGGTTGGGCAGGGACCACCACTCACCCGCAGCCGTGCCTCCCCCAGATGGAAGTTCTCCTGCAGTAGCTGGCCCATGGCCCCGAACGCGTCCTCAGGGTGGTCCAGGAAGAAGTGCGCCAGCTGCGGGGAGGGGCACAGGGTCAGGGGGGGCCAAGCAGGGTCTGGCCAGCATGCGGGAGTCTGAGGCATCCCCAGCAGGCAGCAGGGCACATGTAGTGTCCTCATGGCCTCAGCCCCAGCTGAAGCCCCCTGCCCCCTCTTCCCAAACCTCGTTGCAGGGAGACACTGCACAGAGCCTGGTGGGGCAGAGCACAGCCATCCTGGATCCAAACGTGGGTCTGCTTGGATCCTCTGACACCCTCTCCTGCACAGGGCAGCCCTGCTCCCCTTCCAGCCCCAGCGCTTCTCCCCAGGGAGGGCAGTGAGCCCAGTGGCCCTCTGGCCAGTCAGGCCTGGGGCTTTTGGGCTGGGCCCACAGGAGCGCTGGGACTCACTGCTTTCCCAAAGACCCCCCTGCCAGGGAAGGGGCCATGTGGCAGGCTGCCTGGGGTGCTGGGTGCAGCTGCCAGCCTGCGAGGACTCACCTGCCTGGTGAAGTCAAGGGCGGCTTCAGTCCTGCCTGCCTGGAGCTTCCTCCGAACCTGCCCCGGGTAGAAGATGTCGTGGGGAGTCACAGCCGGCACCCTGCAGCCTGCAGGCAAGAAGGGGAAGTGGGGACCAGGCCCGGCTGTCAGCGCAGCATGAGCCCCCGGGCACAGGCAGGGGAGGGAGCCATGGAGCACAGCTCAAGGAACCTCCAGCAATTGTGGGTGGAGGGATGGGCACGTGCACCCCCAGGCCCTGGCAGTGCCCAGGGATGGACTGCCCAGGGGAGCCTGCAGGTCAGGAGCCAGTTCCTGCTGCTGGAGGGGATGAAGGCCAGGAGGACCCTGCCAGTCAGGGCCTCGTGCTCTGGCAACCTCTGGCTCTGCTGGCCTGGGGGTTGAGGCAGCATCTGGGCTCTCACCAGCGTTAGGAGGCAGAAGCGGCACCGCAGCAACATCAGCAGGTTCCCAGTTCTCGCCTGTCTCGCTGCGAAGCGGCACGAACCCCTGTAAGGGCAGGACAGATGGATCAGCACAGCTCCCTGCCCACTGCAGGGGCACCTCCACCCTAGTCCCCAGCTGTCCCCAGCCCACCACACTGCCCCGGGCTGCAGCCCTCCTCCCCAACTGGGCCAGGGCCCTCCATTAGGCCTGCACTCCCTCCCCACTTAAGGTCACTGCTGACCGTGCAAGGGGCTGCCCCTCGGGAGGAATCATCACAAGCACAATGACAAACCGGGCGACTCCTGGCTGGACGGCAGTGCCAAGGAGAAGGATGGGGGGGGGTCTTGGTAGATCAGACTCGATATGAGCCTGCAGCATGATGCAGCTGCACAAAACAGCAATGCGGTTCGGGCTGTGTCAGGAGAAGCATTAGATGCAAGACACAAGAGGTGATGGTGCTTCTCTGCTTGGGCCTCCTCTGGACAACGGCTGCAGTGCTGGGCTCCATGTGTTAAGAGGGAAGTGGAGCAGCGAGAAAAGGGCCAGAGGCAGAGACAATGCTCAAGGGCTTGGAAGGCAAGTCCTAGGAAAGGCTGAAGGAGCTGGGCATGTTCAGCTTGCATAAAAGCTGCTTCAGAGGGGACATGAAAGCAGCCTGCAAACACCTGAAGAGCTGCCTCGCAGGACAGGGGAAGCAGCTTTTCTCTTGGCTTGAAATCACAGCAAAGTAAATTTAGACTGGATCTCAGGTAAAACTTCTTCCCAGGCAGAGCAGGGGAACAGGCACCCAGGGAGGCTGCGGCTGCGGCTGCGGCTGCTCCAACACTGGAGGTGCCCTCGCAGAGGTTAGGCAGCCGCTAGTTGCGAGTGAGCTGGGAGCAGCAGTGCCCACAGCGCTGTGGGGCACAACAGCTGACGAGCCACCCCACACAAGTCACTGGGACGCCACGGGACAAGCGCTGCAGCCCAGGGCAGGCGGCACGCACCGTGGGGCAGCAGGAGAACGGAGCGATGCTCACAGCCAGACTGGAGAGGAAGCGAGACTAGCGGAGCTGCCAGGCAAGGGTTTTTGGGTAGATGTGTTATCTTTTATTAGGTCAACTGAGTAGCTGGGGGAAAAAAGCCTTTGGCAAGCTTTCCAGCACAAGTGCCCGTCTTTGGGCACAGGGAGAGTCTCTGCTGTCGGGAGATCAAGGAATGAAAGATGCTACAAGTGCGACAGGAGGCCGGCGAGAACGTGCACAGGCAGGAGCGAGGAGGACAGGTCGGAGAAGGAAGAGGAGGAGGGTAACGGCAAAGGTGAAAACCCTGCGATGGAGAGGAGCTGGGACATGTACAGAGCAGAAAGGACAAAAGAAGAGGGCTGGCGAGTGGTGCCCAGGGCGCAGGGATGCGGCCGCCCCCGGCTCCGCTGGAACGGAACTTCCCTCCCGCCGTGCCCGTGTCGGGGCTCCCCTCCCCCAGGGGCTGCGTGCAGGTGGGGACGGCCTTGCCCCGCGCTCGGGCTCGGCCCCAGCCCCCCGCCGCACTGGGCAGCAAGGATTTCCTCTGGTCAGACTGGTCCGCACTGGCGGGCCCGGGCCGTGGTGTCCGGGGTGCGCGGCTCGCGGGGCCCCGGGCCGGGCGGACACTCACCTGGCGCGGCTCCGC